CCTAACTCCATTTGGCATCTGTTTCCCAGGGCACCCGGCCTGATACACCACCTTTCTGACTTGCCATCCGTGTGTTTACCCCTCGTGTTTCCCACCCGTCCTTCTCACGTGGCTGAGGGAGAGGCAGCTTCCTGCCCGCCCCAGTCTAGCCCTTCCAGCGGGGCTGTGGACCCACTGCCTTGTTCTCTCTCTGGCTTTGTGCTCCTGGAGCCAGCATCCCATCTTCCCAACATTCTTCCCTCCGCTGCCCTGCACTTGTCCTCACCAGTGGCCTTCCTTCACTCAGTGTCACCAGGGCCACCAAGTCGCCAAAACCCTCAGCTGCATCTCCATCTTTCTCAGCCTTGACCTGTGCTAAGCTCTCCTCCCTGAACTGCACCCCCCCCACCGTCTCTTGTCTTCCTCACTCCCTTCCCTACCCCATCTCTCGCCTCCTGCCTCTCTCACTGCTTCTCTGTCTCCCGGCCTCGGCCACCCTGTGGATGCTGGGATCCCCGGGCCTGGAGTAGGATCCCTTCTCTCCTCAGCCAACTCCCTCCCTCCACGGGGCGACAGTTCCCAAATACTGACTTGCTGACAACACCCAGTTAGGACTTTTCCTGAAGTCCAGATTGCAATGTCCAACTGACAAGGGGACTTTTCCACTTGGGTATATATACCATGTGTACCGCAAATCCAGCATGTCCCAGGATGAATTCAGTCACCCAGCAAAGCCATTCCTCTGGGGTCTCCACTCCAGAGAGTGCCACCACCATCCTCCAAGTCACCCAGGCCAGAAACTGGGGCAGCCCCCTCCGTCTTCCCTTCCATGTGGTCACCAGGTAACTACCCATTTGACTCCTACACTCCCAGTCTGTCTGCTCCTCTCCTCGGCACCGTCCCTGAACGTAGCCTTCAGCATTTCTTGATTGCACTGCTGATTCCGTCACTTAACCCAGTCTTGAGTCTTACTCTGTATCTTTCCGTTACATTTCTCAAATTGATCCTTGAAAGGCCTGTGATTCTGGACAGGGAAGACTTTCATTGCTTCCTTCACCACTGCCATGATCACCATTTATCAAGCTTTCTGCATGTGCCAATTAAAATCCCTCTGGATCTTATCTTCCCTTCCTTTGTGGGCTTCTCTCTCTCTCTCTATTTCTTTCATATTGTGCTTAGCCTTTTTTTTAAAATTAAAGTATAGTCAATTTACAGTGTTGTGTCAATTTCTGGTGTACAGCATAATAGTTCAGTCATACATATACATACATATATTCATTTTCATACTCTTTTTACCGTAAGTTACTACAAAATATCGAATATAGTTCCCCATGCTATACAGTATAAACTTACTGTTCATCTATTTTATATATAGTAGTTAGTATCTGCAAATCTCGGACTCTCAGTTCATCTCTTCCCACCTCTTCCTCCTCGGTAACCATAAGTTTGTTTTCTATGTCTGTGAGTCTGTTTCTGTTTTGTAAATAAGTTCATTTGTCTTTTTTGTTTTCTCAGTTTTCTTAGGTAAAATTGATACAGTTTGAGTGCACATATACAATATACTGCATGTGAATACATATATACAGTATATTGCATATTTTAAAAATTTACATATTTGTACTGTTCATTGTTTCTAAGAACAGTTTAGAGCTTTAGCTTTTTAAATGTACATAGTTATCAAAGGAATAAAGCACCACAAAATAAGAACCAACAGAATGTAATAATCCAATCATAACGGACAGTCAAATGTGCTTACATATGTTCAAGAAATCAGTCATCTAAGTTATAAATAATAAGTAGCTTACCTGTATCTTGTTTTTTTAGATTCCACATATACATGACGTCATATGGTATTTTTCTTTCGCTTTCTGGTTTACTTCACTTAGAATGACAGTCTCCATGTCCATCCATGTTACTGCAAATGGCATTATTTTATTATTTGTAGGCTTCTCTTGACCGTACAGGGCTAGCCACACTGAATCACATATAGCTCCCAACACATCCTGCAGTCTCATGCCACAGGGCCTTTGCACCTGCCTCCTTCCTGGAATGCTCTCCCCCATCCCTTACCTGCTAACTCCTACCCATCTATCACAGCTCAGACCAAGGGCTATAATCCCCTGAAGGCTTAGCAAGGACGCTCCGCTTCTACTCTTCCCCAGCATCCTCTGCAGAGCTCTATCTGCCAGGGCGCTGATTGCCTTGGTTTTGTTTCCCCTATAAGACTGAGCACTTGGTGAGAATCTGGCTCATTTTGGCGTCCCCAGCACCTAACACAGAATCTGGCACATAGCACTGAAGAGATATTAGTAATGAAAGAATGCTTAAATGAACAAATGAATGAATTCTGCTTGGTACGGGGTGCTCATGATGGAGATGGTATTTGAGGTGAGCCCGAAAGAATGACTAAGACTCTGTGAAACAAGATTGAATGGAGAAAGGCATTCCAGAGATAGGGCATGGCATGTGCAAGGCATGTTGGTTTGGGAGGGTGGGATGCCTTAGGGGGGCCTCAGGTGGAACAGAGGTTAAGTGTGCAGAACATGCCAGAGAGGGATCTGGAGAGATGGGACAAGGGACAATGAGGACTGGGCTCTGGGAAGCCTGACTTTGCCCATTACAGACCAGGGCAGGATAGAATGAGTGGTTTGATGCCATGAGGAAGGTGGGCAGGAGGGGTGGGGCCAGGTCATGGGGGTCCAGGGAGAAGATGATGGGACTGTGATCCAGGGCAGGCCTGGGGACAGAGAGCAGGACCAAACTTGTGAGGGGTTTAGATGGCAGTGACCTGGTGCCAGAGAAGAAGGTGTGAGGGTTGCAGGATGGTGACTCTCTGGTTTCTGGCTTGGGTCCCTGGGTGGATGGTGAAGCCCTTCACCAAGATGGCAGCCCTGGAGAGGAGCAGGTTTGAGAGCAAGAAAAGGAGTTCAATTTTGCTTATAAGGTAGGACCTGAAAAATATACATTGGAAGGGGCCATTAGGCTTGTAGAGCTTTTTGAAAGTCCCATTCAGGGCAGAGCTGAGCTGGGGGTGAGGGTCAGCTCCAGGTATGCTCAGATCAGACCAGCTCTTAAAAGCTGATTGTTACATTTTCTGGAATTTTGTGACACAGTGGTTAAACCTAGTTATTATGAAAAAGTTATATTAAATTGTAATTAAATAAATTACATTAAAAACAAAGATAAGTACTCAAAATGCATCACTTCCTAAGAATTTTACAATATTTTATTGTTCATGCTTTTAAAATTCTTTACATCTCTTAGGTCTGTGGAAATACTATATAATGTTGTATCACTGCGCTATTCTTCCCACCTCTGCTTTCAGTGACATCACATTGGTGGCTTGAAGTCAGCCATGGAGGGAATATTACATCATGGAAAATGACAAACACCACAGATCAGGGCTTGATTTATTGTCTTGTTGACTGTCTAGACTTAAGAAATTTATGGAAAAAAATGTTAACAATACACATTTAATTTAAATGTATGTTACAGATGGCCAACCGGCACATGAAAAGATGCTCATCATCACTAATTATTAGAGAAACGCAAATCAAAACTACAGTGAGGTATTACCTCACACTGGTCAGAATGGCCATCATCAGAAAGTCTACAAATAATAAATGCTGGACAAGGTGTGGAGAAAAGGGAACCCTCCTACACTGTTGGTAAGAATGTAAATTGGTGCAGCCACTATGGAGAACAGTATGGAGGTTCCTTAAAAAACTAAAAACATACTTACCATATGATCCAGCAATCCTACTCCTGGGCACATATCTGGAGAAAACTCTAACTCGAAAATATACATGCACCCCAATGTTGAGAGCAGCACTATGTACAATGGACAAGAACATAGAAGTAACTTAAATGTCCATCAACAGATGAATTGATAAAGATATATACATATACACCACATCTTGGCGTCTTTTATATATATATATATATCTCCCCACACACACACACACACACACAATGGAATACTACTCAGCCATAAAAGCCTGGATGGGTGAAGAGTCCTCGAGAAAGGAGGAGTGGACAGAACCTGGGGCTCACTATTTTCTCTGCCATGTAGGATGCAAGCCACCTTCTGAGACTGAGAGGAACTGAGGAGCTGAGGCGGTTTGGCAGAAGTGGACCATGAGGGACTGAGAAGGAACCTGAGAGGATGAGGCTGTCTCAGAAAGACCGGTATGACAGAATCCTAACCGTGAGTGCCAGGAGGTGGGGTGTCCACCAGGTTCCAGTCTGAGCCCCTCCCTGCGGTGTGGATTGTTTTATTAATCTCCCAGGATGATCCTAGGAGGAAGCAGAAGCTGGAAGAAAGTCCTTTGTCCACAGCCCACAGCCAGAGGCTGGGAGAGGTTAAGTCCTTTGTCCACGGCCCATGGCCAGTTAGTGGCTGAGTCCAGGCCCCAGGCTGGCGTCCACCTCCCAGCGTGCCCCACTCTGCAGTGTCCCCACAGGCTCACAGTAACAAATCAGGGCTCATGTATTGTTACATCTTTGTTGTTTTTTCTTTTCTAATAATTCCTTCTCATTGTATTTTTTAAAAGTAAAGTACATGAGAGATTGGAAATATGCAAAATGGGTCCTTTCCCTTCGAACATTTGAGAAGCACTGTCCTAACCCACCCTTCTACTCACCCTGCTCCACTACCAGAAACCTTAGTGACCCTCGCTGGCTACAGCAGAGGTTTCAAATGGTGGGTGGGGACCGATTCGTGGTTTGGGAGCTTAATTTAGTGTGTCATTACCAGCATTTAAAAAAAAAGAAAAAGAAATGGAGTAAAATCGAAAATATCAGAGTGTATCATGTCATGTAGTAAATGCATTTGCTTTATATATATGTCTGTATATGGGTATATAAATTTCATATGTTGTAATGCATTTGTGTACTAGGATATGGTGAAAAATGTCTTTCTTACTATGATCACAGTTTAAAAAAAAAAAGAGTTTGGAAGCCACTGATGTACCAGATGAAGGCAGCCCTGCCAGGCCTGACATTCACAGCCATTGAGGACAGCGAGTGCTGAGGAAGAGTAGGCAGTGCGTCCTGGGAAAAGGTGAAGGTGAGCAGGGTTTAGGGGATGGATGAGCAGAGGGAATGATGTGAGCAAAGACCCAGAAAGACCACAACCTTCATGCTGGTGCCCCAACTCAGAGTGGGTCTGGCCCTGGCCTCTGGCAGCTTGCAGGTGGCATGAGGACTGCAGTCCCTGTGATGGGAGCTTAGAGGAGGGAGCCCCTAAGTCTGCTGGGGAAATCAAAGAAGACTTCCCAGAGGTGGCAATATTTTAGACGACTACAAAGGGAAGAGTCAGGGTTCGCCAGGAGAACAGGGGCACGGGGGAGGCTTGCCTGGTCAAGTGAGTGGCTTGTGAAAAGGCACAAGAAAGCCCTGCATGTTTGAGGAACTGTGAGTCATTTGGTGTAGGTGGAGCGTGAGCTAGGGCTGGGCCTCCCGTGCCAGGTTGAGGGTCAGGGTTTTGTTTTGGCCTAAGGAGCCGTGGAGGAGTTTTGAGCAGAAGAGTAACATGAGTAACTTCCATCTCAGGACTCTGTCAGCCCAAGGAGAGTGGATTAACAGGGAGAGGACAGCAGGCTGGGAGTCCTGTGGAACGACTATTGCAGTAGTTTGGCCTGAAGTGGGGCAGTGGGGGTGCAGAGGGCGGGTGGGAGGGAGAGACTCGGGAGGAGCCAGCAGAACGTGGCCGCCCAGAATTGACTGGATGGGGCAGTGGGAGGAGCGAGGAGGTGAAGATGACCCCGGTGTTGCTAACTCGGGAAACTGGCTCCATGGTGGTACCTTTTGCCTGGATAAAGAACACATGAGGCAACAAACGATAAATGCTGGAGAGGGTATGGAAAAACCCTCCTACACTGTTGGTGGGAATGTAGTTTGGTGCAGTCATTATGGAAAACAGGAGATTCCTTAAAAAATTGACAATAGACTTACCATATGACCCAGCAATCCTACTCCTGGGCATAGAATCTGGAGGGAACTCAAATTTAAAAAGGTATATGCACCCCAATGTTCATAGCAGCACTATATACGTTAGCCACGACATGGAAACAAACTAAATGTCCATCAACAGATGACTGGATAAAGTTGTGGTGTATTTATACAATGAAATACTACTCAGCCATAAAGAATAATAAAATAATGCCATTCGCAACAACATGGATGGACCTGGAAATCGTCATAAGTGAAGTAAACCAGAAAGAGAAAGAAAAATACCGTATGACATCACTTATATGTGGAATCTAAAAAAAAAAAAGACACAAATGAACTTATTTATAAAACAGAGACAGATTCACAGACATAGAAAACAAACATGGTTATTAGGAGAGGAAAGGAGGTGGGAAGGATAAATTAGGAGTTTGGGATTTGTAGATACTAACTACTATATATAAAATAAACAACAAAGTTCTACTGTATAGCACAGGGAACTATATTCAATAACTTGTAATGGCCTATAATGAAAAAACATGGAAAAGAATATATATATATATATGAATCACTATACTGTACATCAGAAATAAACACATTATAAATTGACTATACTTCAATTAAAAAACACATTGGGCAGAGCAAGTCGGGGAGGACAATGCCTTGAATATTGAAAGTGGCACTTGGACGTGGAGGTGGACATGGCAATGGGCAGTTGGAGCAAGGGGGAGAGGTGAGGCCAGGCATACAGACCAGGGGGAGTGGAGAATGAGAGTGAAAGGGCTATGGAGGGATCCTCAGGGAGAAAGGCTCCATGAAAGATGGAGAGGAGTCGTCTTTGAGGCACACGATGCAAAAACCTGGGTCCCAGGAGCCAGTGGAGCAGAAAAGACCTAGGAGGAAAAGCAGCAATGCAAACACTTGAGAAAATCAGATTCCTGGGGGTGGGGGTGTAGCTCAGTGGTAGAGCACATGCTTGGCGTGCGCAAGGTCCTGGGTTCAATCCCCAGTGCCTCCTTTAAGGGGAAAAAATAAAAATAAAAATCAATAAATAATAAATTTAAAAAAGAAAAAGAAAATCAGATTCTCTATGGGGCCCTGGGGATGTAGTCATGGGAGTCACTGATGCCCTTGTAAGGGTGCAGCGCAGGGTGGAGGGGACAGAAGGGGTTTGGGGAGTGAGTGGAGTGAACACGGTGACGCAGAGGGAAGCTGGGCTGCATCTGGACCATATGGCGCTTCTGTGCGAATTAGAACAAGGCACCCCTTCCTCCAGGCAGATCTGGAGCATGCTGGCTTGGCAAGAGAGGGGTGGCCTTCAGCCCCATGTGCCCCACAGTGGGGCATCTGTATGCCGTGGTCCCTCTAGTATGGCCAGCCCTCTGGAAACTGACTGAGAAGGAAGGAGAGAAATAGTCATTGACTAAGGGGGATGCTGGGCCATGCAAGGGGGTTGTTTTTTAAGACGTAAGAGCCTGGTGCATGCTCACTGCTGCATGCTGCCTGTGAGGAGGAAGTGCAGGACAGGGGAGCCCTGGCAGGAGCCCTGGCAGGAGGGGACAAGGCTGGTGTCGCTGCCATGGGTTTGGGGGAAGGAAGGGGGCTGAAGGGCTGTGTGCCGAGCCCGGAGCCTGGGGCCCAGTGTGCAGGCTGGTGCTGCAGGCAGGAGTTAGCTGAGGATCTCTGCACTAGGACGTGGGAGAGGACCCACAGCAGGCACACGGAGCCTGCCCGGCCCGGGTGACCGGTGGTGCCGGTACTCAAGACTGGGTGACGTGCAGACTGCCGGGCAGCGGGCCCAGAACAGCACAGGCCAGGCTGGGAGGGTCTTGGCACGGAGCTTTTGTCTATTTATTGTTTTACTTTTTACTATGGAACATTTTCGAACACACCCAAAAGTTGCGGGAAACTCAAGTGAACCCTTAATGCCTTTCATTTAGCTTCAATAGTGGTTACTATTGTCCGTGTTATTTTATTATCCCCCATCTTAAAATTTTTTAATTTAAAAAATTTATAAAAATTTAAATAGACTTTATTTTTTAGAGCAGTTTTAGGTTCACAGCAAGATTGAGCAGAAGGGACAGAGATTTCCCACACACTCCTGGTTAAAACCTATTTTTTGGAAGTAACTTTAAAGTTACAGAACTTGCAAGAACAAGTTTCTTTACTTTTAAGGACTGTTTTTCTTATTAAAGAACATATTCTCAGAATGAATATGGAAGAAAATCAAGCTCTTTGTGATCCTGCGACCCCGAAACAAGTACTGTCATTGTTTTGGTGTATTTCCTCCCAGTCTTTTTTCTATGCTCATATAAGTATTTTCAGTTGGACTGTTTTGTCCCGCGGCTAACTGCCTTTCTGTCTGGTCGTCCACCCGAGCTGGCTCAGCCCCAGGGCCATCACCCCCGAATCCTTCCACAGAGTCTGCCAGGAGCAACAACAATCAGTCCAAGTTTGTGGTTGGCAGATGCCTTCACTCCCTGGTTTCAGGGTTAATGCAGGTCTCCCCTTTAACATTCCTTTCATTTTTGTTTTTCTTGGATAAAAGTGGTTGATTCCTGGGGGGGTTAAGGTGCCCAATGCTCCTTGGGCCGCCATCTCGCCCACCTCCCATGCTCATCTGTCTGGAATTGGGGCATCTGAGTCTTTCTCCCCCACTCACCTGTGAACTCTGACGTAGGGCTCAGATCTGATTCATCTCTCAGCATGAAGCAGGGTTGGCCTCAAGAAATATGTCTGGAATTGAATCAACCCACTTATTTGGCATTGCCCATCCCTACCTAGCTGTAGATTCAGGGTGCCTTAACGCTAATTTATAGCCACCAGCCCGGTGCCTGGCGCATACTAGGTGCTCGATAAATGTCTGTTACTGCTTCTGCCAGTAACCTGGAGATTTCCATTCGTGTTGGAGCTCCGCTGGCTTTTCCTTCTTCCCTTTCCTGCCTTCCCTGACTTCTTCCAGATGGGAAAACAGAGAGACCATGTTGACAGGCCAGAGGGAAGGTGCCTCCCTTTGTGCCCCCCGTTCCTGTAAGTCAGGAGCAAAGTCGAGCTGGCAGTGGATTCAAAAGAAGCAGTTCCCCGCACTGAGGCTGTTTTATATGTTTGTGTTGCCCACGATACCAGTTATCATTATCAGCAATTAAAACTATTTCAGGGTCAGTTCAAAGGTGCCTTTGAGGTGTTTTAAGTCGGACAGAAGTCCTCCATGTGCTGAGCTTTAAGCCGGCGTTTCCTGGTGTCATTACAAGCCCTCTTGTGCTTGGAGAATACTCCATCTCTATATTTTGATTTGCCTGAACATTTCATAAATTTCAGGAGTGTTTGTCAAAAGTGGGTTAACGTCTCCAGAGCTGTTTGCACTGCCTTACAAGTCCCACTCCCAACCTCAGTTAAGTGGAAGGGACCATGGAGCTGGGAGAGGAGGAGGGGGATCTGCATGGGGTCTTTCCTTAGGGCTGGTCCCTCTGGCCAAGCAGAACCCCCAGGCCTCTGTGGCCCAGACGGAGGGTGGCAGAAATCAGAGCAGGAAGGGATGGGGCTTGGTCTAGGGTGGGGACTTCAGGAATTGGGAGGAAGGCAGGAACCCAGTTTGGAGGGCTGGGCAGTGGGGAGGGGAGCGGGGAGGCCCTCAGAACACCTTAAGTGACCTTATATTTGATTGAAAGGTAACGATAGGGAGAGAACCGGTCTGGGTATTTTGAACTTCTAAGGAGTTAGTCAGTGACTTGTTCTGACCAACTGTTGGTTGGCTCTGGCCTTGACCCCGGCCTGGAGGGCTAGCACTGGCAATGAGGCCTGGGATCACTGTTCCCTAAGCACCTCCAAGGCCCTCTGGGACCCTCCAGGGTGACAGTTGGCGCTGAGTGTCTTGCTCCCTGCTGACAGAGTGGGTTCAGCTGTGGGCTGAGCTGGGCGGCTTGCGGGTGTAGGGCTTCTAACCAGGTGGGAAAGGAGGGTGGAGGGCAACCCAAATGGAGGAAGAGGTCCTGGAACAGTGGAGAGCTCGGCCAGGGCCCCTCGGGCAGGAGTGCTCTGTCCCACAGCTGTGCCCGGGACCCAGAAAGGGGACCAGCCAATAAAGAGCTGTTCTGTCAGGGTGCCTTTGGCCATGACTGCTGTGAGTGCTGGGCAGTTCCCACTCAGGGACAGCGGTGCTGGGTGTGTGATTTGGGAATAGGGAACCTGCCAGTACTTTGGGGTTCCCCACACGCCTTACTTTGATCAGAGCCCACCTAGACACCCCTGGGCTCTGATCTGAATCCGTAACTAGATTCTTGTGCAGAACTCACCTCTTTGCCCCTCTTTTCAGCTTGAAGACCTGATGCCATAACCCACTGAGGTGCAATCCCTGAAGAAGCCGGTGCCCAGCTCCCTGGAGCTGTGCCATCAACCCTCCTCACTCACACCAGCCCTGGGACAGGGGCTCAGGACGGACTGGGGCAGGAGCTGTGCTGCGTGAGGCAGGCAGTGGGGGACCTTGCTCATGGGGGTGACAGCCCAGAGGTAGGAGGAACAGGGGGTGTCATGTCCCTGGCCCCGCACGGGTGGGAGCAGAAGGCGAGTTGACCCACTTCTGGCTGTGGCTGTGGCTGCTTCACTGCTTAGCCTGCACGTACATGCTGGGCTTCAACTCTTCAAAACCGGGCTGGGAAACATCTGCGTTCATTAGTTTGTACGCCATGGTGATGGGACCTCCTAGCTTTCTGAGCCGGCATGTGTTCCCAGAGGCCAATAAACAGTGGGTGCCTCCAATAAATATGATTGTAATACTCCCTATAAGTGTGTGTGCAAGTAAGTCTGTGAAATCAAAGGTGGGAGCAGAATTCCACGTGTGTGTTGCACAATTTCTCAGGCGTTTTGAACTGAGAACTGTAGTGTGACTGTGTGTTTGATGTGGGTCTTTGTGTGCAGGATGTGTGCGCAGTGTGTGAGGAGTGCGTTTTGTGAACATGTGTATATGTGTGATAAGGAGGGTGTGTGTGTGTGTGTGTGTGTAGACAACCAGCTACATAATTTACAGGGCCTGGTGCAGAATCAAAGTGTGGGCTTCTTGTTCCAAATTGTTGGGAATTTCAAGACAGAACAACAGAGCATCAAGCCAAGCTCAGGCCTTTTTGAACGCAGGGCCCCACGGGACCTCGCAGGTCGAATGCCCATGCAGTTGGCCCTGGCTGGAGAAAGCCACCTCCTGTCTCTCCTCAACCTGTTTTTTTTTTTTTTCTCTGTCTTGAAAAGTCCTTGAATCCCCCTTTGCTCTCTCTCCATCCAGCTCCCAGGGTGACCTTGACCATGGGAGTGTGGGGTGCTGGCTCGCCAGGGGCAGCCTGGAGAGGAGCTGCAGAGCCCCGTGCACAGCAAGGACTGGTGGCACCTTTCCTGCTCCTCCTGGTGTTGCAGTCTGGGTCCTGCTGGGGACACCAAAATCCGTAAGGTGTCTTTTGGTTCTTTGTACAAAATGATTTCCTGAGAATGTGTGTGTGCCCTCCCAGGCCCACCTTGCACCCCGGGGCCCTGCCCACCACCCTCAGGGCTTGAAGACAAGACTCAGGCTCCTCTCGGGGCCTCTTGGGCCCCCTCTGGGCCCCCAGAAGTTGTCAGGCAGCAGACACAGTAAAGAGAAAGAGGCAGCACCGCCACCGGGGCATCCCCACCGCTCACCAAGGGCCTCAATTCTCAGGGGCCTTGGTGGTCCCCGTCATGGGCTCATGCTGCTTCACAAGACTGTCCTGGTAGGAAGGAATGGCAGAGGGGTATCAGGGAGTGGGGCCAGCACTGGGGGGGCAGAGCCCACAGCCCCGGAGTCTCAGTGGCAGGTGTGGAGGGTGGGGACTGCCCGAGTCCTTCCTGTTGATTGTCCTGATTTGCCTCCCTCCTCTCGGGTCAGGTGTGGGGTGCCTGCCTCAGAGCACACTCTGGAGATGCTCATGGGTAATCATGAGGGTGTTCCCACTCCATTACCTATATTTGTCAATAATTAACCACGATTTCCTAGGTCCTGGGAGGAGGCAGTGTCACCTGGCCTGCCCCAGCTGGGCTAGCTCATAGTGCACCATTAACATAGCAATTCCAAGGTTTCTGAGTGGTTCTGGGGCGTTCCAGGTATGGGCATCTCCCCAGGTTTAAGGGAACTTGAGAACTTATGTCACCATGTTCCTGATCCTCACCAGGGTCCCTAAACCCAACCCCTTCCAGCTCCCCTAGTAACCATGAGACCCGTGTGCTTCTGTCTTCGGGACCCCAGATGGGACTGTGTGGACAGCCACCCTGGAGGGCTTCCCTGAGGAGGGCCACCTGCCTCAATTCAAAGGACCCAGAAGAGTAAATGTTGTGGGGGGGTGGGAGGCAAGGTGGGCTAGAGAGGGAACTTAAGCCCATATGGTTGGGCAGGAGTGGAGATGACTATAAACTCGTCAGTCACCGGCCATGGGGCTTTGCCTGCCCCAGAGAGAGAGAGAGAGAGAGAGAGAGAGAGAGAGATCGTACGGCCTCATGAACAAGCGTGGTCTTTACCAAAAGTAAAAAAAAAGAGAGAGAGAGATCTAGGCCTCATGACAAGCTGGCTTTCCAGAAAAAAAAAATCTTGAGTTTGAATTTGCCAATTTTTGTGGTATAAATACTTCCACCAAGTTCAATTTCAAGTCCCCAGTTGGCTTAACAACTGGCTCACAAAATTCTCAAAATATTTAGCAACAGCTCTTGCTCATGGCCCATTAGATCACTGTCCCCATCAGTGAGGCCAGCAACAGTACAAGCTCCAGGACCCAGCTGTACACCTCCTGAGCCCACCGCACCCACGTCCTGGCCTTTATTTGCAAAGTGCCTTTGCATGCACTGGACAGCTTCGGCTCCAGGCACGCCATTTAGCCATTCGAGTTTCTTGTGTTTCAGAGTCCTGGAGTACAGTAGCCGGTCTGTCCTGCAGGTTGTCATAGCGCTCACTGAAGTGATGGATGTGAAATGACTTTTGCCAAAATGAACGCCAGACCTAATCAAGTGAGTACCACGACCCAAGTCCCAGGGACCTCCCGTTTCTAGCCCAGAGCAATGGGGAGATTGACTTCAGTGTCCACCATGACGGTTTGAAGAGCCACAGTTGGCATCTAGCAGTTCTGTTTTGCCAGCTGACAAGCCACCTTGCCTCTTACTGCCCTGGGTCACATGCCAGCCTCCTCACTCATTCCCACTTCCAGGGGACCAGGTGTTCCGGGGAACGAATACCAGGGAGCCATGAAGACACTAGGTCAGTTCTCTGGACCATGGGACAGTGCCCATCCCAGGGGCTGGGAGTCTGTCCGCAAAAGTCCACTTGCACAGGGGGCTTCCTGGTCTTGTGGGGGTGGGGCCGTTTCTCTGGGTGCAGGGTTTGCATTGTGCAATCTTCTCGGAGACCCACCTGCCCTTGACACCTTTCTCATGACTCCACTTCCCCCTCCTCTGGGCTTCTGCAGTGGCATGATGGCCCCACCTCAGCCAGGCAGCTGTGATGGGAGGCGCTGACCCAGCTGCCTCTCTGCTGGCTCACTGTGTCAGGTGGAAGGGGCTGAGACAGCCACAGGGCTCAAGGTCCTTTGGCATGGTGGGGACCCAGGGACTGCCCAGAGGCAGGACTGGAGTCGGGGTCCTTGGGGACTCAGCCAGGCGCTGCTGATGAGTGGTACAGGGAGCTGGTGAGAAACAGGCGCTGGGCCAAGAAAAACAGCCCAGAGCCACAGGTGTGCTGCTGGTTCTCGGTCCTCTCCTGTCTTCATCTCCCCTGTTTGGTGACAGCACTCAGCCAGGCCTGGAGCCCAGCAGAGAGCACCTGCTGGCCCCGGAGTAAGTTTCTCCCCATAGACCCTGAAGGCAGTCATGCACGCTGGCTCACCGCAGGTGGCACACTTGTCAGTGAACTAGCACAGTACACTCCACACTCGCTCAAATGGGAGCGGGCACACGAGCGGAGGGGGGCAGAGCAGGAGGCTCTGTGGACAGGTGACATTTAAGCAGGGCCATAAAAGTGGGTACCCCCAACAGTCCCAGTTTCCTTGCACAGGCCCCAGCCAGGCGCCGGCCCTAGGCCTCCCAGATCTGCCTCTGGGCATCTGTCGGGTGGCTCAGGGTGGCCCGGCACAGCCCCACCTCCACCCCAGCAAGAGGTCCTGCAGCCACCCTTCTCCATCTGAGGCCTTCCAGACTCTCACCACTGGCTTTGCTAATAACATGGTGGACGTTTACGCCTCTTGGAACGAAGGAGTGGAATTCCCTGGCTGCTCTTTCCATAAATGACCCACTAAGAGGGTAGGAGTAGGAGGGCTGCAGCGCCTAGAGACAGGGCTCTTGGAAGTTTCCTGGAAAGTGAGCCAGGAGGAGTCGAGCATGGGGCCCGCCCAGAGCTGGATCCCAATTCCGGACCCCGGCACCCACTCCCAGAAGTTCAGGATTGGCACCAGCCCACTTCAGAGCCTTAATGAGGACGCACAGGCCAGGGCCTAGCCCACAAATGCTGACTCTGAATCACGTGTGATCAACAAGGGGAAATGACTTTAGCAATTGTGTTCATGAAAAATGCTTGTGTGTGTGTCCCCTTCTTTAAAAACCTATTTCTGGGCATTCTTGATTCTGGGACCCTGTTCCATCTCTCTCTGAAGGAGAATCATATGGTGTTCAACACTTGGTTCAGAAAATACTGGAAATACCCACCCGTGCATCACGCCAAGCAAGAGTGCAGGAAATGTAAGCTGCTTTCCTTTAACCCCCTCGAAGGGGTCACTTGAGGTTGAGGGCAAAGGGGCTTCCCCAGTCTAGAAGCTGATGGGCCTCGGGCTCCTGCCTCCCCCTTCCTCCTCCAGCTGATGACAAACACCAGGATGTCTCAACGTCCTCCGTGTCCTCATCTGTTATTCTGGGACACAGCCTGGGGAAGGTACCTGAGTAAGGCCCCCCTGAGCGAGGCTGGCTCTTCTTGCCACGTGGGCTGGCCGGTACCGGCCCCGTGGATGGAGGCAGAAGGGTGAGGCCCTGATCCTGCTCGTTGGACAGGATGCTGGCAGGAGGGTGGGAGGAGCAGGGGTGGAGCTTCCAGAACAAAGGCGAACAGGGAGCCCTGGGGGCCCAGGTAGGCATCAAAAAGGCTCTGCAGAGCGAGCAGGCCACAGCAGCTGCCCGCCTCTGCGCCCAGCAGTAGGTCACACAACCCTCGCCTGGTTCCTCCTGCCTGCCCCGGACAGGCACCAAGGAACACTTCGCGTAGAGAGGCCCTGTTCTCCAGCGTGATTGCGCCCACACTGCTCTGTGGCTTTCTCTACGTGGCGTGGGTTGCTGCTGCAGTTCCAGAGGACAGCAGAGGGATGGCCGGGAGCCAAGCCAGCAGCCGGGAGGGCCGTCGGGAGCGTGGCTTTGTCCCAGAGCCTTTCGATGGAGCCAGTGCGGCCCCGCACCTCTGGCTGCACCGCTTTGAGGTCATCAACGACCTCAACCACTGGGACCAAGTCACCAAGCTGAGGTCCCTGAAAGAGTCCCTCAGGGGCGATGCCCTGGAGGTCTACAGAGGACTGAGTCCCGAGGACCAGCAGGACTATGGGGCTGTGAAAGAGACCCTCCTGAAGGCCTTTGGGGGGCCCAGGGCCACCCACAGCCACCTGCCCAAGGAGATCGTCTTTGCCAACAGCATGGGTAAGGGTTACTACCTCAAGGGGAAAATTGGCGATGTGCCCGTGAGGTTCCTGGTGGACTCCGGGGCCCAGGTCTCTGTGGTCCACCCGAGCTTGTGGGAGGAGGTCACCGACGGTGACTTGGACACCCTGCGGCCCTTTGAGAATGTGGTGAAAGTGGCCAACGGGGCCGAAATGAAGATCCTGGGCATCTGGGATACAGTGGTGTCCCTGGGCAAGCTGAAGCTGAAGGCAGAGTTCCTCGTGGCCAACGCAAGTGCGGAGGAAGCCATCATTGGGACCGACGTGCTCCAGGACCACAACGCCGTCCTGGACTTCCAGCATCGCACGTGCACACTGAAAGGGAAGAAGTTCCGCCTGCTGCCTGTGGGAGGGTCCCTGGAAGATGAGTTTGACCTGGAGCTCATAGAGGAGGATCCCTCCTCAGAGGAGGGCAGGGAGCAGCTCTCCTGTTGAGAAGCCTCCTTTTCCTCACCTCCCCAAACACTGTCAGGAAGACCCACTTGGTGGAGCAGAAGGGCATCCCTGGGGGTCACTTGGGCTCCACCTCCTCCTCCTAGCTCTGCAGGGGCCTTAATCTGCCCTTGATGGGGGAGGCTTCCCTTCAGAAAGGAAGAGGTAAGGGAGAGCAGGTTGGCTTTCTTAGAGGGGGGAGAGGGTCCTCATGGTTGTCAAGCTGCTGTTGGTGGCAAAAACTCGAAGGCTAAAAGAAGGTTCCAAGAAGGCTAGAAATGATTATCTTTGAGAGAGAACTGGGGGACCCCTTCAGATCCCCTGAGATGTGACTCCATCACCTTCAGGCCCAGGTAACCTGTCTCAGCTGGGTTTGGTCCTGGCTGCAGGGTCCTTGCGAGCATGACCCAGCCCCCTTGGTGAGGGTCACGGCTGCTCTGGGATTCTTCGCTGTTGGGTCTTTTTACCTGCATGATGTGTGTTTCCTTCTGTCATTTGCCTTGAAAGCCATTGGATCTTGTGCCAGTAATTCATTACTTCAAAAACCAATAAAGATTGACTCATGGAAAAACCATGTAATGTGCTGATTGGGGAATGAATGGAATGGATGGGAGAGGGTGGAGAAAACAGGGAGGGAATGGCAAACGGGAGGAAGATTCAAGTATTTACTAGGGCCTGGCTTGGAGATGGAAAACATACAGTGACGATATATCTTGAGTTTTCTAAGACACCCTCAATTTCAAATATTTTAAGTTATTTTCTCCATAATCCTAATCAAATCTTAATTCCTCTAAGCATTACAAACTATATTTTAGCATCCAAATTGCCTCTTACACTCCAAAGTGACCCTAAAGAAGTTGTCAGGTCTTGATTGGGGATTGGAAAATTATGGTTATTTAAAAATAAAAGGTTAGAATCTGCCTAGCAAATAGGTTCTTACAGCTACCTAGGATCCCCGATTTGCAGGCAGACAGCAAGGCTGGGGGTCAACGGTTCACCTGCAGGGGGTGGCCCGAGGGCGGTTCTGGAGGACAGAGCGGGCAGTGGGGTGGGGTTCTGGATGCAGGAGGACAGCTTCCCCCTGGGGGGGTTTGGGATGGAGCCGGAAGGAGAGAGGCAGGATGGGGTGGGGCAGACATCCTGGATCCAGGAATGGTCGGATTCGTCTCTCTTAAGGGTCTACCTCATATTTGCTTCCAAGTTCCTGCCTCTCTTTCTGGAACTCAGCAGGGCTGGGAATCTGAAAACCCTCTGGTCCAAAGGGAGACTAAGGGTGCAAAGCCTCAAGAACTTTTGATGGGAGGTGGGAAGGGCATCTTCCTTTCCTGAGGGTAGAATGAGCCTCTTCTGAAAGCTTCCACCTGGACATCCCTGCGGGAGCGAGAAACAGCCTGGGAGGGCGCCAGGGGTGAGGATGAGCCTTCTTCTAAGGAGCCTCTGGGGGCTTGACCTTGAGCCTCCTGGAGCTGAGAGGGCTGCTCCTCCCTGGGGTTTCAGCTCTGCTGCTCCTGGGAACTGAGGCACTGCCCAGCCCCCAATCCCCTTGATTACCGAGGGCTGCACAGCACTTTAACAGGAATTACCTCCATCTGCTAGGGCACGAGGGCCAATGGGTGGAAGTCTTTCCCCAGGACCCGAAGGGGCGGGCCCAGCCAGAGGCCTTGCCTTGGTGGGTGGGAGAAGTGGAGAAGGAGGTGGTCTTATGGCTCCGGGTCTGGTTTTCAACCCCTAACAAATGCAGCTTCTAGGCCAAACCCTCCCCTGAGGGGACAACCCAGGTTGCACCATCCTGTGACCTATTTTCCTCTCGGTCCTTCAGATCCTAGCCACATGCCGGGCTGAAGGAGGGCCCGGGAGGAGTGGGCGGGTGGGAGGCGGGCGAGGGAACGGGGAATTGGGTGCCAGGCCAGAATTCGGGGGCAACACCCAAGTTGTCCCCTCCCAGCAATTCCCCGTGCACGCGGGCTGCTGAGCCCTGTCCTGGGTGAACAGCAATGAGGTGACCTGTGTCCCAGCCGCAGAGACCCTTTGTCCCCTGCTCTGGGTGAGGACAGCGTCTGGGCCACGAGGCTCGCAGCCAGTTTCTCTCCTGGAGGAAAGTGAGCGCCCGGCGTGGGCCCCGGAGGACTGACACATCCCAGCACAGGCTCCGTGGACGAAGGTTCTAAGCGGTGGTTCTTACAGAACTTAAGACACGGGGTGTGTGTGTGTCAGTTACCAACGCGATTGTGTGAAGGGAACACAGGCTGCAAGACGGGGAACAGAATGTCAAGGGGGAGGGGAGGCTGGTGAGCCATAAAGTAGGTTTTCAGCCACACAAGGCAGAAGGCTTGATGCTTGGGTGAGAAGTTAGCACTTGACTTGCACGCAAGTGTTTGAACCCGGGAGGAGCAGGAAGGTTCACCTGGATTCTGGGTGTAGAATAAAGCGGCAGCAGAAGACTCCAGCTTGGAAGCCATGGCAGCACTCAGACTTAGCGTCTGAGTTTGAGATGAAGGATGGGAGGAGGCAGGCGCAGGCAGCGAGGTGAAGGTCTCAGCCTGGCTGCACATTAGAATCACCTGGGGAGGGCAATTAAAGCCGCTTCTCCCGGTGGTCCTGATGTGCAGCCGGGCTCGAGAACGCCTGGTCCAAGTCCCAGCTGTATCCACCCCCTGGCGACCCAAAGGGTGACCCCTGGACCAGCAGAAAGGCAGTGTGAGCATCACCCGGGAGCTGGTTAGACACAGAGAATCTCATCCCCACCCTGACCGGCAGCAGAACCTGCACAGAACAAGATCCCCAGGTGATTCTCATGCACACAAATGGTTGAAAAGCTCTGGCCTAGAACATTCTGATACCTCCAGTTAAGGGGGCAACTCATGGCCCACACCAGACACCCTCTTTACTAATGACCGTCGTACACTAAATGCCTACTAGTTCCACCAGCTGTGCCAGATAATCATGCTTTTATCCAGCAAACATTTTATTTCTAAGCTTTTGTTCTGACATAATTTCAGACTTAGAAAAACATTGCAAGAGTCATACAATGAATTTCCATATATTGTTCACCTGGTTTCTCCAAATATTAACATTTCATCAGCTAACTTTATCATTCTCTCTCACTCTCATTCTCTGTGTCTAGATGTACATGAACTGTCTGAAAATTTCAAATATGATAGAGGTAATTGTTTACCTCTAAATAGTTTATTTCCTAAAATACAAGGGATTCTCTTATGTGACCACAATACAATGATCAAAATCAGAAAATTAACATTGATATAATATTACGATCAGCAAATCTGCAGGCTTTATTACATTTTCCCAATTATACCAGTGATAACCTTTATAGCAAAAGAAAACAATTGTTTTCTGGTCCAGGATCCAGTCCAGCCACACATTGCATTTAATTGTCCTGTCTCTTTAGTTCCTTCAGTCTGGCTGTGTCTTTCATGAGCTTTGACATTTATGAAAAGGCCTGATCAGTTATTTTGTAGAGTGTGAATCTACATTTGGTGGCTCTGATATTTTCTCAGGATTGGATACAGGCTATGTGTTTGTGGCAGGAATACCCTGAAGTGATGGGTGCTGTGTCCTCAGTGGACCATATCAGGAGGCATGGGGTAACTGTTCCATTACTGGTGATGTTAACTTTCATTAGCTGGTCAAAGTGGTGTCTGCCAGGTTTTCCCCTGAAAACTACATATATTTGCCCTGTGTAATTAATAAGTGTCTTCCAGGTTGATGCTCTGAGACTATATAAACAGCCTTTCTCATCAGTCACCCACTCGATCCATTGATGAGCCTTGCCTGTCGATGGTGATATTGTAATTCTACCCTTGTCCATCTGCTAGCTGGCACTCAGCTCTACAGGAGAGCTTTCCCTTCCTGTTTGTTTCTTATGTCTTTATTTATATAATTGTAGACTCACAGACGCTTATCCAATGTTATACCCTTTCATGATCATTATTTATTTTGACACTCAAATTGTTTTAAATTTGGCCTTAGGTGACTCTTCAAACTGGTTTCTATCTTCTTGGGATGTGGTCCCCATCACCATCTGAGCACACCCTTGTTTTCTGTCACAAGATGTTCCACATTCATCTTGTGCTTTTTCCCTGCACCATCCCTGTAATCGGCCACTTCTCCGAGGAGCCCTTGTTCCTTTTGGTGGAGTCTGGTATTTAGAAGCCAGGATCTGGGTGTTAGATGTTTTCCTTGCTACTAGGGTGTCATTATTCCTAGGTCATCTCAGTGGTCTGATCTGAGAAAAAAAATGTCGTACATCTATATGTGTTTCTGTATCTCTCTCTCTCTATATATGTATATTTAAAATATGAGTTTATAGTGAACCTCCAATTCCAACCTAGCATCATAGGGTTTATTCTAATCTTCCCATTTTCCATAGTTGCCACTGCTTTCTCCAATGAGAAACCTGACTACAGGTTATTTATTTGCTAGAATACCCAGAAAGGAGTTTCAGAATTGCTAACCCTTATGAAAAACAAACCCAGAAGCAACCAGTTATTAATCACCTACTCAGCGCCAGGTGTGGGTGGTCCTTAACAGCAAATAAGAAAGGTGAATTATGAAATAGACTGCAGTCGTCATAAGGAGAGCAAAAGCTCCCAGGTGTACTTAGGTGCCAGTCTGAGGGACTTACTTCATCTTGAGAACACAATGTGTCCATCAGAGGGCAGCTGGAGTCAGAGACTGACGGCCACAAGTCTCTTGCAGCAATGCTGAAGGAGTGGCCAGCCTCCATGCCCCAGAGAGGTGACCTGGCCTGCCCACCTGGTCCTCAGCCCCCGAGGAGACACTGAGGCAGCTGTCAGAGCTGAAGTCACCACATGTTCCAGTCCCATCAGTCACTGTCCTAGCCAGAGTCCACCGTTGCCAAGCAACCCCAGGTAATGAATGTGGCTTCTCTGGCTGGGCTGCCAGGAGGGCAGACTCTGATAAGGCCACTCTCACCACCCACTCCACCCAGCTGTTGTTTCTCATTGTGGGCTCAGAAACTGGTTCTCAAGTTCTGACTGCTCAGATACTGTGGGCCAGTCTCTCCCAAGCCTGGATGGTCATGAATTCTCCATGTGTTGCTTATGGGACTTGCCTGGGGCCAGCCTTGCCCTGCTCCATCTCTCTGAGCGTCTTCCAGCACTGGGAAGTGTGTGTAGTGAGCCCTGCCCTCCAGGGATTTACAGTCTGAAGAGGGAGGCAGCCAGGCAAAGGAACCCCGGGCCTTAGAGTGGCGGGCGCTGTGACCCCTCCCCACTCCGTCTGCGCAGGGGCAAGAAGAGGGTCACATAGGGATGAGGATCGGCGTGGGGGGTCAGGAAGGGCTCCACAGAGGCGATCTCTAGCCTGAGTCTTGAAAGACAAGTGGTTGTTTCCCCAGGTGATTCAGGGTGGAGGGAGAAACATGAGGAAAGGGAGAGAGGGAGCAAGCTGGGCTGGTGCCACCTAACGAGGTGACTGGTGTTGGGGAGACTGAGGGTCAGGTGTGAGGGTCCTATATGACCTTTGAGAAAACTCCAGAAGGCTAGGGATAGCTGATGCTGGATTTCTTCAGTTCTAAGATGCACTCAATTC